GCAAAGCATGTCCGTCACCCAGAAGGGCTGTAGAAACAGCAAACTTTCCTGCATAAACAAGGCAAAGTTCAAAACCTCTTGACAATTACAGGCAATGTGAAAGGGAAGTTTTTTAAACTGGAAAACATGGGCCATTATTAGTAACATAAGACTTATTAATGACAGACTATAAATCCAACTACTGAAATAATACAGGTTGCCGCAGTGTGTTGCTCTTGATTGGCGGCTTGGCTGGATTTACAGAAGCCTAGGAAATGCATCTCTGGCCATGTCTGTGGAGATATTTCCAGGGCAGTTTAATTAAGGAGGGAAGAGTCACCCCGAATGTGGTGACATCACCCCATAGTTTGGATCTTTCTCTACTTTCTGATTTAAGACACCTGTGACGAGCCACCTCATGGTCCTTCCCTGCCATGATGGGTCCCTCTGAAACGATGAACCCAAATAGACCCTTCCTTTCTCGAACTGCTTTCATCAAGTGCTTTTATTAAAGCACTAAAAATATTCCATAACTAAAATGCTTGTATTCAATGGTTTTTGTAATGATGTGCAGGGTGAGAGGGGACCATAGATCCCATGGGGGGGAGGACAAACAGGCCATCACACAGAGCTTACACTGGAAGGAAGATAATGGGGGAAGGAAGGGGAGAGAGGAGAGAGAGAGAGAGAGAGAGAGAGAGAGAGAGAGAGAGAGAGAGAGAGAGAGAGAAAAACTCAGAGAAGCGGCAGAAAAAGAGCAGGAGTGGGCAGAGCTCGTCTCTTAAAGGGACCTTTGCACCTGCATTTAGAGTCAGGGTACTACCTCTCATGCAGCATGCAAGGGTGGCCACTCTGTCTCTCCCAGGTCCCCAGGTCAGGTTTGCGTTTGCCTGGATGATAACAGTTTTAAGCCTAATGCAAAAGTGAAAAGACAAAATCATTGATAATGGCCACACCCGTTACTTTTCCTTGCTGTGGCTAGTACCTGACATACTGTAAGTGAAAGATTTATGTATTTTGGCTCATGATTTCAGAGGATTCAGTCCCTTTGTTTCTGGGCCCACTGTGAGCAGAACCAGCAACATAATGGTGAAAGTTTGTGGCAGAGGAGATTCAAACTTTGGTGTGTGGGAAGCAAAAAGAGGGACATAGAGAAAGGATGCCAGAGAAAGCTGTGACTCCAAGGAACACACTGCCACTGACCTATTTTATCCAACTAGGTCTTACCTCCCACCAGCACAATCTTCATATTGAGTCCATCAATGGTTTAATATATTTATTGTGTCAGTTCTCATGAGCTCATGTCTGGAGCTGACCTTGCACCCATATTGAGGAATATGCTTCATGAAGTTCCTAGGTGTTTCCTAACCTACTCAAGTTTACCGCCAAGATTAACGATGACAAAGTCCACCCCTTCCCAGCCTGGCACTCCAAAGTCCACCCCTTCCAAGCCTGGCACCCCAAAACATCACTTTAAACCAAACTATTCTACCTATGAGCCTTGTGACTCTTTCCTAATGAAATATCCAGTCGTCCACCCGATCCAACTGCAAAAGTCCCAAAGCCTTAGCAGTTCCAACATTGTAAATTTAGACTCCTCTGAGACGTAAGACAAACTTTCAGCTGTGAACACCTATGAAAATATAAAAAGTGCATGAGAATGGGGGAGCTGGTCCTGCCCCTCACTGGCTGCAGCACTCAGGAGAGCAGGCCCTGAACCGCATCCCGGGCAACACAGTAGAAATGACCCTGTTGGCAGAGGCTCAGGTGAGCCAGCCCTGAGAGTATGAGTGCAGGAGAGTTGGCCCCTCCCACACCCACCCCTTGCCACTTGCAGCAGGTGGGAGAGATGGCCATGGAGTCAAGAGAGAAGGAGAGCTGGCCCTGCCCCTCACTAACTGCAGCAATTGGGAGAGCAAGCCCTAACCCTTGCCTGGGCCAAACAGTAGAGCTGGCCCTGGTGTTGTGGGTGTGGTGGAACCAGCCCCAGGGGCATGAGAGAAGAACTGGCCCTGCTCCTTGCTGCCTACTGCAGTGGGTGAGCTAGCTGGGGCAGTGCTGGAGAGCTTCCCTTGGCGCTGATGATGAGGGAAAGTAGGCAGGAAAGCTGTCCAATCCAGCTACCATCCCAGCCCAGAACCAAGGCTATGATTTGGTCCACCCCAATAACTACCCCATCTATGAACCTGCTAGAGTACTGAAGTGGCTGGACCTGCAGATCTAAAGCAGCAGGAACTCTATGACATGGGGCAAGGACAGGATATCCAAGGGGAGTCCCAGTGAGGCTCAGTATAAATGGTGTAGTAGAAGCCAGAGCCCTTGAATCAGATCTATAACTCATTGCAATGAACACTTGCAAGTAAAGACGTACAGACTAAAGGGTATTTTGTGTGACTCACTGTGTCTCACCACAGCTTCCATGCTGAGACTTTAATTTGCTTGGTTTTTTTGTTGTTGTTGTTTTGTTTTGTTTTTCTTTCAAATTTTAGTTTATTTTGGTGGGGGTAGTTGCAAGGGCAGAGAGCAGATATGAAGGGATGGGAAAATGAATGGGATTGGGATGCATGATGTAAAAGACAAAAGGAATATATATATATATATATATATATATATATATATATCCATTCCATAAAACTGTGACACAGCATAATCATTTCATACCAGCAGCAATAAATGGAGGAACAGAGAAAAAGGATCAGATCACAGCAAAAACAAAACTCAGCAGGTAGCACACAGTGGAGTATACCGCATCACTACACTAGTGCCAAGAGGCTTGGGCAGCTGAGCTCCCAGAGTCTGAGCATTTGTAACCCACTCAGCCTCCCTCTGAAGCTGGTGATCCTCGATGTCTGAGCCAGAATTCGGTATCCATGGCATCTCCAGCATACTGGAGTTCCATCGCAGCTTTGGCTTTATCTTAATAGTTCACACATCACACTCTCAGGGGGTCCCTGTAGAGAATACAACTCTGCTCCAGACTTCCTAGCTCTCCTCAGGAATCACAGTAGAAAATTCTATGATCCAGGAACCTTTTTATCCTGAATGTACCACATGAATACCAGCTCAAGCAGTCACTGGGCACCCAAGGGTCTTGACTTCAACAGCCTCTGAGAACCTTGGCCAATGAGGCTGGGAAGGCACTTCCACTGATGGCAGGATGCCCTCGGGGCTCATCCATTCACGGGAAAGTCTTTCAAATTAGTGTACTAGCTCGCACCCTTGAACTTACAATGCAAAGAGGTGAGTCTGGCCAGTGAATAGAATCTTGAAATGCCCTCAGGAAACTTTCTATTTATTGGCCACAGTAATTTTCTGTTTGTTTGGTTTGGTTTGGTTTTTCTCAACTTGTCTGCCTCCATCAGATTCGTTAGTAGGCAAGTCTGTAGGCATTTTCTTGATTAGTGATTGATGTAGAAGGGTCCCACCCCTGAGGTTGAAAAATCCTTGAGTCACAAACTAGTTAACAGTGGTCTCCATGGCTTGTACTTCAGTTCCTGTCTCGACATGCCTGCCCTGACTTCCCTCAGTGATCAATGATAAAGCTTGATATGAGAGTTGTAAACTTGAAGCAAATCCTTTCCTCCCCAGTTACTTTTGGCCATGGTGTTTTGTCATAATAGAAACACTAACTAAGACACTACTGTCCTAGTGCAGGGCTTGGCTTCTTCTTAATGGTGTTACTCTCTTTAACAACCATGCACTCACTGATCACAGATTATAACTTGACTCTATTCTGGTCAAACTACATATCTTTCATGATGGGGTGTGTAGTGATGTAGGGCATCATGGTGGGGTGTGTAGTGATGTACAGCATCATGGTGGGGTGTGTAGGGATGTACAGCGTCATGGTGGGGTGTGTAGGGATGTACAGCATCATGGTGGGGTGTGTAGGGATGTACAGCATCATGGTGGGGTGTGTAGTGATGTACAGCATCATGGTGGGGTGTGTAGGGATGTACAGCATCATGGTGGGGTGTGTAGGGATGTACAGCATCATGGTGGGGTGTGTAGGGATGTACAGCATCATGGTGGGGTGTGTAGTGATGTACAGCATCATGGTGGGGTGTGTAGAGACACAGTGCATCAAGGTGTGTGTTTGTGTGTGTGGTGATGCAGACCATCATGGTGAGAGGGTGCTGTGATGTGAGGAGAGAAAGCCGTAAGCAGCACTGCAATTGATCAGGGATAAGTAATAAAATGACTTGCACATCAGAGGAGTATTTACTTCTCTTCTCCCCATCCCCCGTGTTAAATGAGGATTCTACAAACCTCAAGTAGGTTAGTCAACAAACTAAGTATAAATAACTGGTTGCTATGGATTTCCTGGTTTCATGAAAAAGAAAATGCATCAGACCCTAAAACTAGCTGTGCAAACTTTTAAAATCCCTAAATGGAAATAGGGACCAAAGCAGCCAGTGTCTCTTAGACAGGGCATCGAGAATGGGGTGCATTCAGTGCCGGATGTCTGTCTGCCTCTCCAAAGAACAGTGCATCCTCCTGCCTCTGTGAATTCCTGAAATCACAACTGCATTTGTTAGGTGGGGGAGGGGGTAAGCAAGCTTCCGGGTTCTGATTTTTCCTCTAGGTGACTATTTCGTTCCATGTTCTTGGATTCTTTTCCTCTCTCCTGTATTTCATTTAAGCCTGTGTTTCTTAATCTACAATATTCATTGCTATCTTGAAACTAATTTGAACATTTTCAGGCTTGAATCCCATTTACATATAATTAATGCACTGTGGTGATAATTCTAAAGGACTGCTCAAAGGGGACGGGGCAGGTTCCAGGGCTTTGGGGTTTTAGTAAGTTGCCTGACCTCTGCTAGCCTGTACCACCTCCCCTGAAACACAAGATGCTAAAATAGGCCTGGCAATTAATTAGTGATCATAAAAAGTACATTATAAACATGTCTGGAAATCTCATAGTAACACATCATCTTATACAGTTAATATGTGCCAATAAAAATACGTCTTTATTAAAAGGTCATACAGCAGGCTCACGTCTTCTCTGTGTTCCCAGCAGCACCGTGGCCTGGTTTCTGAGCCTCAACACCTCAGCCTCGGGAATGGCAGTCACAACAAATTCAATGGACAAAACCGTGCCTGGGAGTTTCAACAGCAGGACCCTGGTCCCAAACTTGATGATCGTCATCTCGGGACTGGTTGGACTGACAGGAAACGCCATTGTGTTCTGGTTCCTGGGCTTCCGCTTGCGCAGGAACGCCTTCTCCGTCTACATCCTAAACCTGGCGGTGGCTGACTTCCTATTCCTCCTCTGTCACATCATAGACTCCACGCTGCTTCTCCTCAAGTTTTCCTATCCCAACATTATCTTCCTCCCGGCCTTTAACACCGTCATGATGGTTCCCTACATAGCAGGCCTGAGCATGCTCAGTGCCATCAGCACCGAGCGCTGCCTGTCTGTCCTGTGCCCGATCTGGTATCGCTGCCGCCGCCCGAAACACACATCAACTGTCGTGTGCGCTGCGATCTGGGTCCTGTCCATGTTGATCAGCATTCTGAACCGGTATTTCTGTGGCTTCTTAGATGCCAAATTCGAAAATGACAACCGGTGTCTGGTATCTAACTTCTTCACTGCCGCATGCCTGATATTTTTGTTTGTGGTCCTCTTTCTGTCCAGCCTGGCCCTGCTGGCCAGGTTGTTCTGTGGTGCTGGTCGGATCAAGCTCACTAGACTGTACGCAACCATCATGCTCACGGTACTGGTTTTTCTCCTCTGCGGCTTACCCTTTGGCATCCACTGGTTCCTGTTAATCTGGATTAAGACTGATTATGGTGCATTTGCCTATGGCCTTTATCTGGCATCTCTTGTTCTGACTGCCATTAACAGCTGTGCCAACCCCGTCATTTACTTCTTCGTGGGCTCCTTCAGGCATCAGTTGAAGCATCAGACCCTCAAGATGGTTCTCCAGAGGGCTCTACAGGACGCCCCTGAGACGGGCGAAAATGGAAGCAGTGTCCCTCAGGACACCACGGAGATGTCAAACAGCAAAGTGGAGCAGTGAGGAAGAGTACTGCCTGGACCTCAGAGGTGACTTTGGAGCGATCACCGCTCTGTGCACTCGATGGCTGGCTGCTCTCCTCTCAGCCCCGTGACCTGACACGCCTCAGTGGCTCACCAACGTCTTCAACAGATCACCATTGACTTGGGTTTTTTTCTACCTTTCCTGAGTAAAAGTATTTATCTGAAAGTATCATGTCTTCATCCTCCTTGACATAAATAGAATTATCAAGTTAACTTCCTCTGAAGCTTTCTTTGCAACTTTGTTGCCATGGAAATAGCCCCTGTCCAAAACCATGACTCTCTTGTTTGCAATTGTTCTGTACCGGACAGTAAAGACGAAGGAGCCCCATGGTTTCCTGGGAACCACGCTCACAAGACAACACCTTCAGCAACAGCAAAAGTGTTTGTGATCATAATGCTCATGGTGCTGATAGTCGCCCTCCATCGTGAGACTACTGCACAGTTTACAGAGACAGATGCCAAGGCCCAGGTGCTGCGCTGCCTCACACACTCCCACAGCCCAGTGATGCAGCAGAAGAATCCCAGGGCTCCAGTCAGCTGACCCCAGCAGTCACAGATCTTGAAATAACTGGGATGTGTACGCTATGAGTTCTAGATTAGGAAGAACGGTTAGGCTATGTTCCCAAGCTGGTTCCATGACCGCCTTAGAGCTCGTGTCCATCCACAGAAACAAACAGGAAACTGAGTTAGGAAACGTCACTGGTCTGATTGATCTTATTCCCTAAGAAATCTGGGACCTGTTTTCTGAACAAGGTTGTGGGATTTGACCTTCCTGTAATCACAGCCTGAATATAAGAACCATACTGATTAAGAAAGACCCAGAAATGTATCCTCTCCACCATGCCTGTAATCAAAATGAGCAGATTCTCCTTTACGTGACTGACAGCTGCTGGGATTTGGAGAGGCTGCTGTGACATGTTCTTTCTGAATGTGGAGATGCTGCAAGTCAGGCGTCAGTATTACCATGACTCTGTTGGCCATAAAAATAGATGTGATTGTCTCTGCTCCCAGCAGTAGAGAAGAGGTCTCCTTGCACAGAGCTATCATGCAGGTGCAACTGCCTCTGAATCCATCCAGAATTAAACGCAGATATGTCAAGAGGAGAATGCCTCATTTGTAACTATGCAATTGAAGTGCGTAAATTGGAAATTTCCTGGGATGCTTGAAGTCTAAACTGATGATTCTACAATTTTAACCACCGGGTAAAACTTTTGTGGCAGGGTGGAAAAATAAACAGTCTAGACACAATAAAATGGGTCAGGGAGGAATTCATTGTGGCACTTTAACCTTAAGATTGTTAAAGGAATGGTTATCAGGGGCTGGGTCGTGTACGCGTGTGCACACACACACATACACACACACACACACACACACACAATCTTTACTATCCCGGCCTTTGCTGGAGAAGCTGGAGTACTGTGAGCTCTGAGCAGTGTCTGCAATAGCCCTGACAGACAACTGGACAGACATACAAAAGCAGCCTGAGCCAGCTCCAAAACAATGTCAGCTCAGAGTCCCTGCACTAGTCAAAACACAGCATCCTTTAGTCCTCCCAAGGATATCTCCACCCCTGCTGGCTCACAGGCTATAGATTTAAAGAGACAGATAAAAATAGAATGGGGGAATTTAGGAAACAGGGGTAACAAGCAGAATGTACCCTCTTGCCCACTGCAGTCTCTCCTGAGAATAGAGGAAAGAGCTCCGACCTCAGAGTAAATTTAGCCTTTCGTTCCCTGAGTAACCCTTAACTCTAAATGTTGTCATGGCTTCAGAGTTGAGAAGAAGACACCTGAAGGTCTTTGGATCTGCAGGCTAGAGACTGCTTTTTCTTTGGCACTGTAGTGAAGTGAGAACTCTGCTGCCGAGCTCTGTCCCCAGCCTTCCACTACCAGGACATCCAGGTTGAACTCTGTAACTCCCTGCTACGCGTGTGACAGAACAGAGCATATGGGCTTCAGAAGCTCTGAGGACAGTGGAGAAAGATGTGGTGTGGCGATGCTTCTGCTCCCCCTTTACCTTGTCCTTTACTCCTTCCCAAAAGCCACTGGAAGAAAAAATAAAAATTTCAATATTGCTTAATTACCATAAATGCTTGGGACATTTCCTTCCTGCCTACATGTCTGGGTTATAATACCTCTCCAGAAGACTAGTGTCCTCATTAGCGGTGACGGACACCCATGTACTCGTGTGGGTAGTCTAGCTACAAACTGCCCTGCCCATTGTTTTATAGCATTGCATTCTGGTTTACGTGTGGTGTATGTGCAGGTGTATGTATGTGCATGTGTGTGTGGGCATGTGTACACGCGTGTCCATGTGCTTCCATGTGTGTGCATGCGTGTGCACACATGTGAGCGTGTGTGCACAAATGTGTGTATGTGCGTGTGCGTGTACTCGCACGTGTGCATGTGCATCCCTGTGTGTGCATTGCAAGCATGTGAGCGTGTGTGCGCACGTGCGCACGTGTGTGCATGTGTGTGTGCATGTGTGTGTTCACGTGTGTGTGCATGCATGTGCCTGTGCATCCATGTGTGTGCGTGTGCATGCAAGCATGTGAGCGTGTGTGTGTGTTTGTGTGGTGCTTTTTACCTGTTGTTTGAGACACCCCACCCCCATTAGCCTGGACTTCACCACGCAGGCCAGGAGAGTTAGCCTTCAAGCTACCAGAGATCCTAGCTCCCATCCTGTCTCCCGCCTTGCAGCACTGATTACAGGAGTGCACCACCACATCCTGCTTTTCACATGGTGTGTTAGTTACTTACCTTGTTATTGCAACAAAATATCTGAACAAAGCAACTTGAGGAAGGAAGGGTCTCTTCTGAGTTATGATTCAAGGTGAGGGCTGTCATGACAAAACTGTCACAGCAGCAAGAGCCTGAGGCTGCTGCCTACATCACAGCCCTTGTCAGGAAGCAGAATAACGAATGCTCCATGCCCATCCGGTTCTCTCCTTCTTATTCCGTCCTGGACCGCAGTCCATGGACTGGAGACACCCACATTCAGGATGGGACTTCCCACTTCACTTAACGTAATCTAGATAATCCCCCCACAGAGGTTCCCAGAGACTAGCCTAACCCACCCTTGTCTTCTAGGTGGCTCTAGATCCTCTCAGACAGACAATAAACATTAAGCATCACACATAGTCTTCAGACTTGCAAACAAGGGCTTTCCTGGCTGAGCTATCTCCACAGGCCCACTTGAGAATTCATTAGCTCAGAAGTGTTACATTAGTGGACTCACATACTAACTTTGAGTTTTTCTCTTTCTTCTCAGTATACTGTCCTTAGGAGCCATCCAAGTTGTAGTGTGCACCAATAGTCTATTGCTGACTCGTTTTAATGATAGAGCAGGATTCTACAATAAGATCACATAGGTTTTTCCACATGTCACAAGTGAGAGGGTGTTGGGATTGTTTCCAGACTAGCTATTATAAATAAAGATGAGTTCAGAGTGCCTATGCAGATTTTTAAGTGAACATCGTTTTCCATTTCCTGGGATATGTGCCACAGTGGAGCATTGGGTAGAATATGAAGTACGTGTTAACTTTCCAGGAAATGCAGAAGTACTTTCCATAAAGCTGAGCTGGGTTACTTTCCTATTGGCAGTGTGTAAAAACTCAGCTTTCTCCAAGCCCTTGCCAGAGGAATTTAGCCATTCTGTGAGGAACACAGCAAGCTCATCCAGTTTCTTAGGAGCCTTCTCTCTGTGGCTTGTAAATGGGACCTTCCTCACATGGACCAACTTCTGTCTCTTTGAACTAATCACGTCTTCTTTTTATTGTGCTTCTAATTTTATTCTTCCACAACTGTTGTATAGCATTTTCCTAGAGATTCAAACATTCCATCCTTCATGGGAGCTCATTAAGAAATGAAGTAGGCCAGCCTGGTGGCATAAGCCTTTAATCCCAGTGCCTGGGAAATAGAGGTATATAGATTACTGTGAGTTCAAGGCCTCCCTGGTCTCCATAACAAGTTCTAGGGCAGCCAGGACTCCATAGAGAGGTCTTAAATCTCTGTCTCAAATCTTACTCCTAAAATAAATAAATAACAAACAGGTGTACGGATAAATAAATATTTTGTAAAAAGAAAGAAAGAGAAAGAAAGAAAGAAAGGAAGGAAGGAAGGAAGGAAGGAAGGAAGGAAGGAAGAAAGAAAGAAAGAAAGAAAGAAAGAAAGAAAGAAAGAAAGAAAGAAAGAAAGAGTTTCAAAATAGCTTCAGGAAGTCCGGGAAGCTGATCAGATTCACTAGGCCCCTTGCCTCCCCAAAAAGATATAAACAGTAAGGACTGCTGAGAACTACTGTCCTGCAAGCCAAGAAACAAAGAAGTCTCTGAGACCTGACCACCTGCCTAGAAGAAGCAGAGAGTGGCCCACCTGCCTGGAAGAGGCTCAGACCACCTGGGGCACCTGGACAGGACACTCCCACCTGTGGAGCTGTCTACAGTTGTGCAGTGCATTCTAGAGCCCCAGGTTTTGTAAGCTGTCACCCATACTAGGGAGGGTTTTGGAGATGCAGCTGTCCTTGAGTCCTTTCTGCTTCTGTAAGTGACCCTTCGTCCATACTCTTGTAGGGAACCCCAACATAAGTCACTGGTTCACCAAGTTGGACCTTGGTACTTCAGTGGTGTCTGCACTTTGCTCTGTCATCTGCTCCCTACCTGGAGAGAGTAGATGTAGGTGTTTCAACTCCTCTGGAAGGATCTGTCACACAACAACAATTTTACGCATACATTGGACTTTAATTGTATCCACTTCCCATCACCCGCTCTTATCCCCATCCCACCCTGGATACAACTCTTACTGGTTATGACCTACCCTAAGTGGTCACAGTCTGAGATCAGGGGGACTGAGATTTCCACATACAACTCCTGAAGGGACACAGTCCAGTCCATAGCAAGGTTTTTATTGTGTATTTGCTGAATTTGTTCACTGAAGAAATCTTCTGAGTATGGTTATTTATTTATCAGATTTTCATTGCTTGACATGGTCTCCTGAATGAAAGAGAGATCTTAATTTAGATCACAGTTCTGGAAACTACAAGTTCAAGCATCAGTCAGGCTCTGGGATGAGTCTCACGGTGGATGATTGGAGTGCACACGGAAGAAGGATCCCTTATCCAGCCAGGAAGCCCTAAGACAAGGGTGGGGGTAGACTTAATCCTTCTGTAACAACTATGTTTCAAAAACTTCAGGGACTTCCTGAGAATGGGATTCCCAGAGCACCTAACAATGTCCCATTGGGCTGCACTTTGTAAAGTTCCACAGAGCCTATTATCACCATGGGAACCAAGTGAGCTCTCAGAGGGGTAGCAGAATACAATTAAACAGCGTCCAAAACTAGCAATAATGTTAGACTGCTTGTAGCAGGAAGAACAGAATCAAAGACTTAAAACTTTGTGTATCTACACTACGTAAAAATAAATGAATTACAAATTCTCTCAAGTGGAAGAAGGAGAAAAAAGAATGTGCACTGTGTGCCGAACCCTTTATATTTCATAAGAGAAGCACACTGATCCTCTTATTCATAGTAATAAATTAAAAACAAATAAAAGGGACTAGTTAGACATTTATGTCGCACATGTGGGGTCCTAGGTTCAATCCCTACTACCACAGAAATAAGTGAATAATAAAATAAGTTTGCTATTTGGTGTTAATAATAATGAGAAGAATAAGAATAGATTAGGACTGGGCATTGTGGTACCTTGTCTTTAATCCCAGCACTCAGGAGGCAAAGGCAAGTGAATGTCGGAGTTCAAGGCCAGTCTGGCCTACACAACAAATTCCAGGTCAGTGAAGAATAAACAGTAAGACCTGGTCTCAAAAAAATAAAATTGGTGATGTGGAAAAGGGTAGGAAGTGACGGTCTCTAGAGTGTGGGACTCGGGGATCTCAGTCTGCACATATATCTCTGTCATTTAGGACAAAGGTGAACGCATTCCTGCCAGGACAAGTTAAGTCTTTTTCTAGTAAGCCTTGGGTATCTCAGTTCTTCATTCATCACTTATAAACCTCCATAGTTCAAGCTCACCTCACTTGGCGCTGGGCTGAGTTGACGATCAAAGAGAAGAATCACAGTAACTTGAGAAATGGAGAAAAAGCTAGAGGCTTGTGTGCAAGTGGAATTGAGGCAGATGCCAAGAAACATCTCTGTGATGGATCGTGGCTCAGCTGACTCTGCTCTCTGATTTGTTACCACCCTTTGCACAAGAAATCGCAAGATCCATCCAGAGTACTGACAAGCTTCAGCTAGCATCCATATCTATTGCAGGCTCAGCAGGCGCCTCACAATTTACAAAACCATACACTCTGCTGTCACTCAGGCTGAGAGAGGATCTTCCCTTTCAGTGAGGGTCAGCTCCCCACCCTTGACTGCAGAATGAAAAAAAGGTAAGGGCATCAAAAGTAAAGAATTCTTGTGGCAGGCTCATCGGTAGATTTGACACACTGCAAGGAAGAAGCAGTCCACTTTAAGGAAGAGCAATAGAATCTATCCAAAAATAACACTAAAAGATTGACGAATTAAAAAAAAAAAAAAACAGGCCACGTAAGAGCTGAGAGATAAACTTACATGTACCTGGAGTCCCACAGAAAGCAAAGGAGAATAGTCGAAATAAATAAGAATGTTCCAAAATTAGTTAGAGATATCAGAGAAAATGTCTAAGAACATCAAAACCACCCCAGATCCAAATCAGGATAAACATTTTAAAATGTCTACAGATTTCATGTAGTCTTAGTCAGCGAGACTGCCAAACAAAATATCACAGATTGAGCAGCTTGGACAGGAGCCATTTCTTGCTCATACTTCTGGGGGCTGGGGAGTTCATGGTCACCGTGCCCGCTGTGGAGAGCAGGCCTGATGTCGCCTTCCTTTCTTTGTACACAAAGCAGATACTCCCTTAGCGACACCAATCCTACCCTTACGGCACCGGC